ATCAGCCAGCAGACCCAGGGCCTCACAAAGTCCCTCCACCGTGTCCCCAGCTCCCAGCCAAGGCTGCCATGGCCTCCCTGTTCTCCGGCCGCGTCCTGATTCGCAACAACAGTGACCAGGATGAACTGGACACGGAGGCTGAGCTCAGTCGCAGGCTGGAGAACCGGCTGGTGCTTCTCTTCTTCGGCTCCGGGTCCTGCCCACAGTGTCAAGCCTTCGCACCTATCCTCAGGGACTTCTTCGTAAAGCTCACAGATGAGTTCTATGTGCTGCGGGCAGCCCAGCTGGCTCTGGTGTACGTGTCCCAGGACCCCACAGAGGAGCAGCAGGATCTGTTCCTCAGGGACATGCCAAAGAAGTGGCTCTTCCTGCCCTTCGAGGATGACCTGAGGAGGTGAGGTGGGAGAAGAGGTCAGGGAGGGCTTCCTGGAGGAGGAGATATTTCTGCTGAAAGTGAAGTTTTTGTTTATTGTTCCCTCTGTTCCAGCTGGAATTAATGAGCACGTCCTGTGTGCCAGTTTGTCCCCAGATGGGGGGGGAGGGGACTACCCAAGGGGCTACATATGCCCATATCTACTTAGCTCCCAAGGAGCTTACAACCTCGTTGGGGAGACAGATGTGACACAGACTCAAATACATATACAATAAGAAACTGCAGTAATGATCCAGAGGACAAAGGGAGGATGCCGTGTGGAAATATAATGGGGAGACCTTGCTGAGGTTTGGGGTCAGGGAATGGTTCCTTGAAGAAGTGTTTTTAAAGAGAGACCCCCAAGGCCAGGGAGGATAGGAAAGAGTGAGGAGAGGGAAGGGTTTCCAGGCAGAGGGTACAGCACAGATAAAGGCTGGGAGGCCATCAGAGAAAGAGCAGCGGTTCAGGGAACTGTAAGCAATCACAGATGGGAGGGATGCCTGTGTGGCTCAGCAGGTTAAACGTCTGCCTTTGGCTGGGGTCACAATGCCAGGGTCCTAGGATCAAGTCCCATGTTGGGCTCTGTGCTCAGCCGGGAGTCTGCTTCTCGCTCTCCCTGCTTGTGCGCTCTCTCTCTCTCTCTCTGACAAATAAATAAAATCTTTATAAAAAAATAAGCAATAGGAGAGGTCTGCAAGCACCATATGGAGCAGCACCACGGTCTCCATCTTTTTTTTTTAATTTTATTTATTTATTTGACAGACAGAGATCATAAGTAGGCAGAGAGGCAGGCAGAGAGAGAGGAAGGGAAGCAGGCTCCCCGCTGAGCAGAGAACCCGATGTGGGACTCGATCCCAGGACCCTGGGATCATGACCCGAGCCGAAGGCAGCGGCTCAACCCACTGAGCCACCCAGGCGCCCCCGGTCTCCATCTTAATGGGAGTGGATATGATCCTCAGAGTAGCTGGAGCCAGGCAGGAGGGCATCGGAGCTGAGAAAGAGGTGGTGTACCCAGTTGCCCAATGAACAATGCTACAGCTCATGGCTGTCTTAGAACCCTCCCCTTTTCTGCAGGAAGGCATCCCTTTTTTTTTTTTTTTTTTTTTTTAGTTTAAAAAATTTTTTTAACATTTTATTTTTAAGTAATCTCTACACCCAGCATGGGGCTCGAACTCACAACCCTGAAATCAAGAGTCACACTCTCCTCAGACTGAGCCAGCCAGGTGCCCTGGCTTTCCTTCTTTTTAAACTTCAACTTTTCGTGATGAAAAATTTCCAAGATCTCTCAAGTTGGAAGAAGCATGCAGTGAAATCCACAGCACTCATTGGCACCTGGCCATGTTTGCTTTATCTACACACACGGGAAGTTTGCAAGGAACCATTTGAAAGCGAGTCACAGGCTTCTGACACTTGACTGACTTCATTAATTTTGCTCCCCAAGTTGGAAGTTTCTAGAGACCTTCATTCTCCACCCAACATTATCAGAGTTAGGACACTTGCTCCCTCCTTCTGCCCTCTCTGCCGCTGAGGGGGATCTTTCCTGCAAAGTGGCAACATTTTCCTTCCCAGGGCAGAAATGTCAGCTGTGAGGGTGTCAGAGCCAAATTCAGACCTGCTGACCTCGTGTGACACAGGGTCCTCTGGACAAAGCCTACTCAGAGTGGCTTAGGTGTCTGGACAGAGAGTGAGCAATTCCCTACCCCCCTTCTTGCCACCCTATACACACAGGAACACACACACACACACAGTTCCCAGATAAAATACAGGATGCCCAGTTAAAAACAAATTTCGCATCAACAATGAGTCCTTTTTTAGTGTATGTTTTTACTTTTTATATTTTTTAAAGATTTTATTTATTTATTTGACAGAGAGAGGGAACACAAGCAGGGGGAGTGGGAAGGGGAGAAGCAGGCGTCGCTGAGCAGGGAGCCCAACGCTGGGCGCTGGGCTGCATCCCAGGACCGTGGGATCATGACCCGAGCCCAAGGCAGACGCTTAACCAACTGAACAACCCAGGCGCCCCAGTATACGTTTTTAGCATAAGTATGTCCCGCATAGTGCATGTTGTGATGTGTTATATATAATTATAATATGACATGACATGAAATATATGAGATGGTAGCTTGTCTGAGGTATTGGAGACACAGCGCAGAGGCCACTGCGGCCTGGCCAGGTCCCCGGGCGCCCCCAGCGCACACCGTGCACACGGAAGGCGCTCTGTGAGTCCTGGGAGGAGGGGTGTGTGGCTCCCTAGCTCGGAATCGGGGACCGGCTTCCGACCGGACTGACGCGCCCGCCCCGCAGGGACCTCGGGCGCCGCTTCTCCGTGGAGCGCCTGCCGGCTGTCGTGGTGCTCAAGCCTGGCGGGGACGTCCTCACCCGCGATGCCACCGACGAGATCCGGCGCCTGGGCCCGGCCTGCTTCGCTAACTGGCAGGAGGCGGCGGAGCTGCTGGACCGCAGCTTCCTGCAGCCCGAAGACCTGGACGACCCCGCGCCGCGGAGCCTCACCGAGCCGCTGCGCCGCTGCAAGTACCGCGTGGACCGGACCGCCCGGGGCAAGCGCGGCCCCGGGAGCGGGAGCCCGCCGGAGCCGGAGGGCGGAGCGGAGGGCGGTGGCGCCGGAGAGCTTTTCTGACCCCCGCGGGGAGCTCGCGCGTGGGGATTCGGGGCTGCGACCTCCAGAGGAGTTACCGCCCCAGACTCTAAGGGGTCACAGAAGGGGACACTCGAGGCAGACGTCGCGGCGTCCGGGAGCAGCGCCACCCCCCAGCAGGCGGCCCTCGGACTCACCCGCCGGTCTTCGAGAGATGTAAAGTGCCGCGGGGTGGGAGGCAGGGGGGAAGGGGGGCGGGGCGTGCAAGGAGACAGTCAACCCATTCAAAACTAAGCAAAGGACCTGAAGAGGCATTTCTCCAAAGAAGATGCACAAACGACCAACAAACCCACAAAAAGATGCTCAGCCTCCTCAGCCCTTAGGGAAATGCAAATCAAAAGAACGGTGAGGGGCTCCTGGGTGGCACAGTGAATTAAGCCTGTGACTTCGCCTCAGGACATGATCCCACGGTCCCCCATTGGCTCTCTGCTCAGCAGGGATCCTGCTTCCCGCCCCCTTTCCCACACCCACCTCCTGCCTCTCTGCCTACTTGTGATCTCTGTCTGTCAAATAAATAAATAAAATCTTAAAAAAAAAAAAAAAGGCACGGTGAGATCCCACTTCACGCCCAGTGGGATGGCTATAATCAAAACCCAGGCGTAATGAGTGTTAGCAGGGAAATGAAGAGAGTGGAGCCCTCGGGCATTGCTGGTGGGAAGGTAAAAGTGTGCAGGTTCTGTGGAAAGCAGTCTGAGGTTCCTCCATAAGATAAATACAGAATGACCGTAATTACCAGCAATTCCACTCCAGGTATAAACCCAAAAGAAATAGGGACTCAAATAACCGTGTACATGTTCACAGCAACACTATTCTCAACAGCTAAAAGGTGGGAAAAAACCCAAATGCCCCGCAACAGACAAATGCATAAACACAATGTGGTCCATCCATCAGCGGGATACTCTTCAGCCCCTAAAAGGAACGGAGAACTAATACACGGTACAATGTAGATGAACGTCAGTGAAAGAAAAGGGACACCGGAAGTCATATAGGTTCTGGCTCCATTTATATAAAATGTCCAGGACAAATCCAGAGACAGAAAGCAGATCAGCGGTTGCCAGGGCTTAGGGGAAGGGGAAGGGGTCTCCTTTGGGGATGATGAAAATGTTCCAGAACCAGACGAAGATGCTGTTTGCACAACACTGTGTATGTACTAAATACCACTGGACTGTTCACTTCGGAATGGTTTCTTTTACATCATGTAAATCTCACCTCAATGTTTAAAGTTAAAAATAAATAGATAATAACCCAAAATACGGGCCATGGGAAGAACAAAGTCGAACAGCAAAAGACAGGGGTGCCTGCTCAAGCCGGGGCCGCCAAAGGGCCTCGCCCAGGAGGCGACATTTCGGCAAAGCCTTAAAAGAAGGTCGAACGGAGGGGAAATCGCAGCCAACTGCAAGGTCCGCAGGTAAAGAGACCGAGTATCAAAGGGAATTATTTTTAAAAATTCGTTCAAGTTTCTTTCTTTTCTTTTCTTTTCTTTCTTTTTTTTTTTTTTTTTTTAGCAATGAAACAGGTGCTTTGGGCAGTGGGCGGTGTGGCGGTCCCTTTAATGAGTTTAGGGGCTTGTAGGGCTCCCGGGATCCAGCCACCGAGCCCGTTCCTGTCTTGGGGCCGCCTCTGTCCCTTCTTTGCCCCGCCCGGCGCCGGCCCCGCCGGGCCAGGACCTGGAGACCGGGAGGGGGCGCCCGCAGGGTCCCTGGAGGGAGGAGAAAGACTTTGACCCAAGTTTTCTCAGAGCTTCCTCATCCCCACGGCGATCTGCACACCAATCCGTCTACGGCCCCTCAACTTTCAGATACCCCTTGCGGTCCCGCCCCCTTCGGAACTCCTGGGGACCTTTGGACGCCCGCCCAACTCCCCTGCCCCGCTAAAATCTCTTTTATTCCTCGACCGCCGCCCACCCCCACCCCGGCTCACAGACCCCCAGTCATGGCCCGGTCGTACGGCGGCCGGGTGCTGGCCGCGATGACCTTGCTGGGCATCCCGGCGGCCGTGCTGGCGGCGCTGGGAGCGCAGCTGCTGTTCCAGCTGCAGGCAGGCCGCGCCGAGCTTCGGGGACTGCGCGCCGACGGGCTCGGCCCGGAGCTGGGCACCGGCCCTGGGCTGCCCGAGGACGCGGCCGGGGCGCTGCTGCCGCTGGCCGCCGCGCTCGCCGCGCTCGCCCTGGTGTTGGGCCTCACCTGCCTTCTGCTCGCGGCGCTCTGCGGCCACCTGGGCGCCGAGCTGGCGCGGGGGCCCGGCCCCGGCAGGTAGGACAGGCCCCTCCGCCCCGAGGCCCGGCTGGGGGCTGAGCAAGCCCAGGCGAGCCGCTGCCCCTGTCGGGACCTCAGGTTGGGGGAGAGCGTCCCCTCTCCCCTCTTCCTTGCTTCCATCCCGTCCTCCCTTCCTCCTCTCTCTCCATCCCCCACTCCCTCTATCATCTCTCCCTCCCTCCATCCCTCCCTCCATCGGGAGTGAATCGACTGCTGCACTCCCCCCACCTCCACCATTTTACAGAGGTGGAAACTGTGGTCATTGGGCACCCAGGGCCGGGTGGCCCCGGTGTTGACAGCGCTTATCATTGAGGGAACCCTAAACTCTATGTGCTTTTCGCATTCTGTGGACTAGCCAAGTGAAGGCCCGTGACCCCTGCGAGGCTGGTGTTCCTGCCTCCCTTACAACAGGGGAGGCTGATCTCTTTAGGCTGCCGGGTTTGGAAGAGGGTGGAGGAGATTTGAACTTCCTTCTGGTAGAGCCAGAGTCTGTGCTCTAGTCCTGGGTGGGGATCCTTCCTCAGGCAGCGGAGCTCAGGAACATGGGCACTGGGGGAGGCAGGTGTCAGGGGACAGGGAATGTAGCAAAGAACCTTCCCAGTGTTCCCCTCCAGGATGCTGGGGGAGGGGAGACAGAATCAGGGTCCCTGATTCCATGGATTTGAATGGATGGGAACTTTCACCACTGGGGTGGATCTCACCTAAAGCGTGCGCTATCCATTCCATAGCTCAAGGGGGGCTGAAATACACTCATGTGTCAGTCAACAGATACCCAATCATGGGTGTCTTCAGGGGGCTGAGCCTAGCACCAGGAGTAGAGGACACAGCAGGAATCAGGTGGACCCAGACCTGTCCTCATGGGGTAGACAATAGAGACAAGACAAATAACTTAAGTGAGGATGAATGCTGGGAAAGGAGGAATGGGGTGATGCCAAGAAAGAGGGCAGAATGGGGGTTGAAATGGGACCATCAGCGGAGGCTTGAGCAGAGACTTGAAGAAGGGAAGGAGGCAGAAGATCTGGAGGACTGTGATCCAGGCAGGAGGAACACCATGTGCAAAGGACCTGGAGCAGGAATGAGCTTGGGGTGTTAGGGGGAGATCAAGGTGATTGATGTGGCCAGAGGGAGACATAAGGGAGATAAGGGCAGAGAAATCAGGAACTGGACCATGTAGCTCTTCTTGTGCTGTGGTGACCCCTTTGGGGGTTACTCTGCCTGAGAGAGTTGTGAGAAAGGAGGGGCATGATCTGACTTCAGTTTGGAATAACCCCTCCGGCCACTGTGGGAAAAGGGGGCATGAGGTCAGGTGGTGGAAAGACTGGGGAGGAGGCCACTTCTGCTGTACCACTGGGAGATGAGCGATAATGGAAGCTCTCAGAGCCTCTGTTTCTTAAGCCTCCAGGAGGGAGGAAGGGAGAGTGCACACAACAGAAGCACTTAGCATGTTGCCAGGCTCAAAATGAAGACCTCCATCAGTCTCAGCTCTTGGGAATCTCTGTTTCTACCATGTCTGATAACAAGTTAGCCCTGGTTTCTTTACTTCCCAAATGAGTCTGTAAAATAATGGAAGTCAGGTGCACAGCTAGTGTCTATGCATAACAGCTGCCTCATGAGTGTTGCATTTTGAATGGACTGATGTATACGGATGGGCCATAGAAGAGGGGGAAGGATGGTGGATGGATGAGCGGTGAATGAGGAATGGATGAATGGACAGATGGATAGTTGGTTGGATGGATAGTGAGGGGGAGTGGATGGTGGATGGATGGGTGGGTGAAGGATGAAAGGGTGGATAGAAGGACGGGTAGTTGGGTGGTGAATGGCAAATGGGTGGATGGACAGATGGTGGCTGTTTCAGTAAGTGGTTGGATGGATTAATAGGGCCTGATTGAATGGATGGATGGCTGTACGGTTGAATAATCGATGGGGATGTGTAGATGGTAGATGGTAGTGGTACCTGGAAGGATGGATGAATGGGTAGATAGATAGAGAGATGGATGGATGGATGGATGGATGGATGGATGGATGGATGGATGGATGGACAGGTCCTTACATAGATCTCGGGCCTCCCTGGCCTTCCCCCACCAGCTCCACCTGAGCTCATTCTCTTCCTGCTGCCCCCTCAGGTCTGACTGGTTTCTCTATGACTGCCGCCTCCTCAGACACGTGGCCCTTGGCCTTTTCTGCTGTGGGGTCTCTGTCTACTTAGCAGGTGCGTGCTGGGGGATAGAATGTTGGGTGTAGAGCCCTGGGCTGGGGTGGCCAAGGGTCGTGGCCCCATAACTGAAGTCAGCTCCAGTGCCAGTCTGCCTGTGTTCAACTCTTGGCTCTGACACTTTCTTGCTCTGGGACCTTGGGCAGATTCCCTCTGTGTCCAGGTTTCCTCATCAGTACAGTGGGGATACATAGTTCCCCACCTTCTAGAATTACTAAGGGGATTCCGGGTTAATCCCTGAGAAAGACTGTGAATGGCATCTGACCCCAGTAGGGGTTCCATAAGTCGTAGTGGTCTTCAGAACATTTATGATTCTTCAGTTTCCTACATTTGGTTTGAACAAAAATTTTCATGTCCTTGGTGTTTTTTTGGAGATAGTGTTTCATGGGTTGGTCTTAGTAAAAAGCTGTTGGTTACAAATATCAGAACCTCCAGCTCAAGAATGGCTTAGGTTAAAAAAAATGCTTTATAAACCAGAAATGCAGTTGTAAATCCCAAAACATGAAACAGAACAAAAACTAAAAGTGTGGGTGCCAGAAGGACACGGCGCATTGTCTTTCCTTCCCTGACTCGTGATAACTTTTCTTGGATCCACATCCTCTCACCCGCACTTGCCAGTAAAGTAATCAAAGCATCAAGCATCCTAACATCTTATATATCGTTCTAATCTTGGAAAATGCATTGATGGTGCTGCAGACTCAGGGCTGAAACATACACAGACCACTGGCAGTCCTATAAACAACGTGTTTTACTAGAAGAAAAAAATATTCAGCTGAATGAAAAACAAGGGGTTTGCTATTACTGTCTTTTTTTTTTTTTTTCATTCCTACAACAGAGAAATAGAAGTTTAGGAGATATATTTAAATTATTTATTTGTGAGATGTGAGCCTAGGGTTCATTATGGGACTATAAGGGTATATATGGATATATAAAGTGCAGGGAACTCTGCATAACTTTTGCTGTTAGACTTAATAAAATGCTCCAGCTCTGAGTTTTTTAAAAAGGAGAGTGGAGGGGGTGACGCATGTGTCTGTAAAGATCGGGGCTGCTTGGCCTCAGGTGCAGCTGGATCTAGGTGCTCCACAAGGTAATCAGAAATGCCTCTTGTTTCACCTCTTCACCTGCTATCCCCTGGGAAAGATGCCTGTATCTATAAGTGCTTTCAACACAATGCCTACAACCTTGAGCCCTTTCCCAGGCTGGGAAAAAAAAAATTGTTGGAGACTTGGAGAATAAGATATCCTCATTCTGATACACAAGAAAACTCACAAAGAGGGGAAAAAGGTAACTGTGTCAGCCTCATTAAGTGTTAAATTAAGAATTTGTTGAGCTCCCATTTAGATTCCTTTTGAGGTTAGATTACCTCACTCAGCAAGAATGCCCGAGCACATCCAGCCAATCATCCAATCATCCATTCGTTGCTAGCCAGAGCCAAAAGAATAATTTTAAAAACCTTTTCAAAAATGTTTAGAGCAAAAGAAGTCCTTGGCCTCACTTTAATCTGTTGAACATAATGCAGTGTGGCATCTTAAAAGCAAACAGTACAGAGTCGGAGAAAGCATAAAGACAGCCAGCAAAGTGCCAAGAAGGCTTCCAGCCCACTCTGGGCTTCTCCTGGACCAATTCCCCCGCTGCTGCAGTAAGAAAATTCCTCCCTACCCACAGCCCAGTCAAAAGCCCCAGGGCTTGCTTTGATTGGCTGGGCTTGGGTCATGTGATAGCACTGCACCAATCAGTACAACCAAGGGAAGCAATGCTTTGACTGGCCTAGCCTAGCACCATACCCATCAACGATGTCAGAGAGGTGGCTCAGTGCTCCTACATTAATGATCTGGATGAAGGTAGGGACTGAGCTGGTGGTTTTCAATGGGAACAGATTCTGCTGATCCAGGGGACATTTGCCAATATCTGGAGACATTTTTGGTTGTCATGACAGGGAAGGGGGAAAATGCTACTGCATCAAGTGGGTAGAAGCTGCTAAATATCCTACAGTCCACCGGACAGTCCTCATCAAAAAGAATGGTGCCAGCTGGGTGCTGGACAAGTCAACAAGCTAGCGCAGATTGGTCCTCAAGGTCAGGTCACCAACCATCTCGTTGAGACCAGCAAACAGGCCAGAGAGGGGCTGTGATTCACTCAAAGTTAAATCACGGGATTCAGGAAGCCTGAGATCCAGGTTGTTTTAGTTGTGGTCAAGTACATATAACATAAAATTCACCATTTTACAGTAAAATGCATGTGATGATGGTGTAAGAGAATTAGGTAGTTAAGCTATGTGCCTATCATGTACAAGTTTCTGTGACTGCCCTCTGTTTGGGGGAGCTCTCCCAGAGCTTGGGGAGCAAACGTTTGTCGACTAAGTAAATGAGAGCCATTTCTTTCCCCAGCACTGTCCATCTACGCCCTGCTGCTCTTTGAGATCGAGACAGGTGCAGCAGCCGCCTCCATCCTTGGAGTGGGTGCTCTGGTCCTGGTGGCAGCGCTGACCCACACTCTGCTCCGAGCTGCCCGGGCCACCCGCCGTGGCCTCCATGAACTGTCCCCACCACACTTTGAAGACGACCCTGTCCGCCCTGCTGAAGTCTCCAAGGCCAGCCCCAGGGCTCAGCCCCAGCAGGGTACCCACCACCACACCCCCTACTCATCCTGCCCAGAACCTGGGGACCCCCTCAGACCCACAGTCACTGCTACAGCACCTGCAGCCATGGGGGGAGGCCGGGAGAGCAGCCTGCCTTTATCCCACTTGCACCGGACACTGTCAGCTGGCAGGGGCCACTGGGAAGGGGTCACCCACGAGATGCGTAGCATGCTGGGCCACCGGTCACGGGGCTCAGGGAAGGACTCTACACTGGTGTGAACCCAGGGATCAGGGATAGAGACCTGGTGTCAGGCAGCAGGAAGAGGACTCTGTAAAGATAGGTCCAGGCTCAGCCACAGTAGCAGTATGACTTGATTTCTCAGCATCCGTGCCTTGTGTCTTCAAGGTGGCTTCATGTCACAAAATGGCTGCCAGGGCTCCAGCCTTCACCTCCTCTCTCGGAGGGAAAGGCAGAGACCAGGGTGTACTCAGCACCTGGAAATCTTCCTGGGAGGCCTTGGGACCCTCCTGCTTATACCTCACTGGTGAGAACAGAGTCACATGGCCACATCTCTGGGCAGAGGAGGCTGGAAAATGTAGCTGTCCAGATGTTAGATGCAGGAGGGGAGGGTTGGGCTTAAACAGTGGTTCTCTAAATGTCTCCATCCATTTTACAGATGAGGAAACCGAGGTCCAAAGAAGGGCAGTGACTCACCAGGAGTCCCATGGCCAGTACTGAGCATCAGAGTCAGGATTCGAACCGGGTTTCTGTAACCCCCATGCTGCTGACAGTGCAAGTCTCAGACTCTACGACTTCTTCCAGGCTGTGAGCATTTGAAATCTGTGTGTGCTGTGCTCAGAGCACCCTAGGGCCCCAGGTGCACATGGACGGCTGGACCCAGCCTTCTGGCTGTGGGCTTCGCTGCTCTGTGTCTCAGTTTCCTTGTTTATAAAATGTGGCCAGAAGCAGTTCCCCCTCCTAGGGCTCCTGTGAGACTCGGTGTAAGCCAGTCCAGGTGCCTGTGCACAGTAGATCCTCAGTGCATGTCAACATGTGTCGTTATCAGTCGGATGCCCTGGTGGCAGGAGAAGGGGGGTTGATGGCCACTTTCTGGGGCTCACAAAACTGCCAAGGCTTAAAGTGGATGACTCAGAGCCCCAGGGATCTCCAGAGGCCCTGGCCCCACTCCCATCTCATGCAGCCCTCAAATAAACTCTGACCCTCGCTATCTCCTTTGTCACTCGAGTCACATCCAAACATGTTGTGTGGTCAAGCCCAGGCCTGGGGTAATGGGTGGGATGACAGGAGTGGGGTGGGGAGGCAGAAGTGGGGGGCAAGGGTCTATTCCCTGTAGACCCTAGTTGGGGAGCCATGTCCCAAAAATCTTCATGCACATAAATTTCACTGGGGGTGGGGATGCCTGGCCTCCACTCTCACCCCAAATGGACAGATGTCCCCAGAATTCTCCTAGTGCATCCCTTCCTGAGCCACACAGGCACTCTGAGTCCCAGGGAGAGAGGAGACGGCTCAGCCACAAAGTGATTTCAAGCCCCCCTAGGACCCTTTCCTACAGACAGACAGGTGACAGCACTCGGGGGGTGGGGGGGCTGGTCTCTCAAGCCTGACCCTGGCAGGGATCCTGCTGATCTGATACACCCAGACCTGAGTGGCCCACCAACTCCAACTCCAGCTGCCTCCTCCCAGAGCAGCTCGTAAGATGCATAGACCTCCTTGCTGGTAGAATGGAGTGAGGACAGAACACATATGAACGTCCCACATGGCGCCTGACACGTGGGAGCACCCAGTAAGCATGGGTTCTTGGGGACCACAATAAATATCAATGAAAAAGATCAAATAAGAATAAATGTCAGGGGACCTGGCTGGCTCAGTCGGTAGAGCATCTGACTCTTGACCTCAGGGCCATGAGTTCAAGCCCCATGTTGGGTGTAGAACTTACTTTTAGAAATAAATAAGTAAATAAGTGTTACATCATTATAACATGCCTGGTTCTGCAGATACGTGCCAGGCACTTTCCTGGCCTCAGTTTATCTTTGGGACAGCCCCACTTACAGATGGGGAAACTGAGACCCAGGAAATAAGGCCACATGGTGGCCATGGCTGGAACCTCATTACCCCATCACAGAGGGTTCCAGGGCACAGCAGGTGCCTGAGAAACACTGGGAATTGTCGTTTCTGAGACTCCCCTGGAATGGGGCAGTCCCCTGGGACTCGGGTGTGGGAGAGGAGAATGAGGAGGAAGGACCATGGCTGTTTGCCAGCGAGCAGCACCTCATCTCCTGGACTGGGCAGGGGAACCAAAAGCTGGACCCCTCAGCCTCATCTCCAGGGCCAGGCCTAGGGTGCAGGTGCAAACCTGGAGACCTAGAAGAATTGAAAGCAGGTCTTCAAACAAATTCTTCTACAAACATATTCGTAGCAGCACTAGTCACACTCGCCAAAAGGTGGAAACAACCCAAATGGCCATCAACAGGTAAGCGGATAAAAAATGTGATGAATCCATCCAACGGGAATATTAACTCAGCCATGAGAAGGGACAAAGCACTGACCTATTCTACATATGGATGAAGCTCGGAAACATCATGCCAAGTGAAAGAAGACACACACAAAAGGCCACATAGTGTGGGATTCCACATATATGAAACATCCAGAACAGGCCGATCCGTAGAGATGAGGCAGATCAGTGGCGGCCAGGGGCTGGGGTGGGGGTGGGGGGCATGGGGAGTGACTGCTCATGAGGACAGGCTTTCCTTTCTGGGTGATAGAAATGTTCTGGAATTAGGAGTAATGTTTGCACCACATTGTCAGTGCACTAAATGCTTCTGAATTGTGCACTTTATAGATTTTATTTATTTATTTATTTATTTATTTATTTATTTATTTGACAGAGATCACAAGCAGGCAGAGAGGCAGGCAGAGAGAGAGGAGGAAGCAGGCTCCCTGAGAATTGTGCCCTTTCAAGTGGTGAATTCTGTGTTATGTGAATTTCACCTTAATCAAGACAAATTTAAGGAGGCACTTGTTCTCAGGCTCCTGCAGGTACAGATGGGGTCCTGAACTAGAATGAGCTCCTTAAATGTTGTACCTCTCGAGCTCACTAGCCTCACTCTCATCTGACCCTTGCTCATCCACGTGGGACCCAGGACATGCAAGGTTTCAGCTTGGAAGGCCGGCTGGGAGTGCTGCCCATAGCCCAGTCGAAACCTGCCCCGCCTTGCTGGCTGTTCTCTGGAAGGGACGCCGAGCATCCTCATATCCCAGCCAGAATCAGATGAGAGGGGATGAGGCTGATCCTGGGGCTGGAGCCAAAGGCTCAGGTCGCTCTGTGTCCTCCAGGAGCTGGGACAGACCTGGCTCCAGAAACAGTCATGCGACCTGCCACTTTAGTTTCCTTTACAAAATAAGGTAACCTCCTCCACTCCACCAAACACAGCTATGAGGACCAAATCAGAAAGGATATCGACGTCTCCATTAATTCCACGGGCCATGCAAAAACCAGCAGCTGTCAGCATCCTGGTGTGATTAGAAAGTGGACAACATCTCTCAAAGATGTTGCCTTTGATTGGGATCATCAGAACTAGACCTTGAGGGGTGCCTGGGTGGCTCAGTGGGTTAAAGCCTCTGCCTTCGGCTCAGGTCATGATCCCAGGGTCCTGGGATCAAGCCCCACCTCTGGCTCTCTGCTCGGCAGGGAGCATGCTTCCCCCTCTCCCTCTGTCTGCTTCTTGTGATCTTTCTCACTGTCAAAGAAATAAATAAAATCTTAAAAAAAAAAAAAAAAAGAACTAGGGGCGCCTGGATGGCTCAGTGGGTTAAGCCTCTGCCTTCAGCTCAGGTCATGATCCCAGGGTCCTGGGATCGAGCCCCGCATTGGGCTCTCTGCTCAGCAGGGAGCCTGCTTCCTCCTCTTTCTCTGCCTGCCTCTATGCCTACTTGTGATCTCTGTCAAATAAATAAATAAAATCTCTGGGGGGAAAAAAGGATTAAAAAAAAAAAAGAACTAGACCTTGAGATGATTTGAGGGATGTGGTTTGTCTATATGGGAGACTACCCCAGGAACCCCCAGAGCCCTCCGGGGACACCAGTGAGCAGATAGTACTGTGGGCAACTGAGGCTCCATGCTGTTGGGGACCTCTGGGAAACAGCATAGAGCACACACAGCAGAGTGGTCCCCACACAAGGGCTTGGGCCTGGGGTGTTTATCCACTGAACCCCATCAGGTATTGGCTGAGAGCTGCTTCTAGAAAGATTAACCCCTCACACTTCTGGTCTTCCCTGTGCACCAGCTGGACACACTCTTGTGGCCAAAGGAGGGCCCAGGAAAGGTTGGAGGTATTTTCTGTGAATGATATTCATCAGGGAGAGATAAACATGAAGAGGGTGAAGGGGAGGGGGGTAGAGAGTGTCTGTTCCAGCTTTGTTGCATTTTTGCAACAGCAGGCATAGTGGGGGATACTGAAAACACTTAACCACACTATTCCTGGTTGAGAAGAACTATTGAGTTTTGGCTGCCCACCATGGCTCGGATACCCTGACTAATTCACACAAGCATCACCATTGTTGTCACCTTGATCCAACTGGTCTCTCTTTAGTTCTGCACATGCAATCTACTGAAAGTGGCAGGACAGAGCTGGGGTCCTCTGTGCTTGTGACACTAAGAATGGAAAGCCAGATGCCACCTTGAAGGAAATTGCTCTGCATGACAAGGGGCATATTCCGCGCACACACACACACACACACACTCCCCAGAAAACACTTTATGAACACACTTTAAAACATATTTTGGGTGAAATAAGAGTTTTGAAAAGACCTCATGAACCCTCCATTTCAGGACGGTTCTAGGTACAGTGCAAATTGGACCTTAGGCTCAGAAGGGTTCAGAAGGCTCAGAAGACCACCCAAGATGCAAAACTGAGTTTATTGGGTTAAATGGAGCAATAATCACAAAAATACTATCTGAAAATCCAGCACTCTTTCTTTCCGACTTCAATATCCTTTGAGTTTGTATCTGTTAGCTCTTGCTGCAAATCATCCTCCAAAGTTAGCCGCTCAGAAGGACATGCATTTAGGGGTGCCTGGGTGGCTCAGTGGGTTAAAGCCTCTGCCTTTGGCTCAGGTCATGATCCCGGCGTCCTGGAATCGGGCCCCGCATCCGTCTCTCTGCTCAGCGGGGAGCCTGCTTCCTCCTCTCTCTCTGCCTACTTGTGATCTCTGTCTGCCCAATGAATAAATAAAATCTTTAAAAAAGAAAAAAAAAAGA